GGGGTAGGGAAGCAAGGGTGGGAAAAAAAAAAAAAAAAAAGAAAGAAAGAAAGAAAAGAAAAGAAAAACACAAAATATACAAGACATAAGAAATGAAAAATTGTTTGTTGATAACACGTATGTTGATGTGCTTGATTGAGCCAACAGACAGTGTATTTTGGATGAAAAATTCATTTTGTATACTGTAATAATGTATAGCATATTAATGTTAAAAAAAAAGATTCAATGAAACCAATGATGATGAGTACATGAGTTTCCATAATCTATGGGACACAACAAAAGCAGCTGTAAGAGGGAATTTCATAATAATTAGCGCAATAAGAAAAAGAGGAGAAGGTGGCAAACGGATAATTTAACATTATGCCTCAGAGAAATGAAAAAACAATAACAAAGAAAAATTTCAAAAAATGCCAAAAGAAAAGATATAATAAGGATTTGAGCAGAAATAAATGAAGTAGAAAATAAATGAACTATACAGAAAATAAATGAAAGCAAAAACTGATTCTTTGAAAAGATAAACAAAATTGACACACCTTTAGTTAGACTAATTTAGAAGAGGAGTAAAGGGTACCAGATAAATCAAAATAAGAATGAAACAGGTAATATTACAACAGACACAATAGAAATACAAAATATCATTAGAAAGTACTATGAGCAACTATATTCCAACAAACAAGAGAACATGGAGGAGATAGATAAATTCCTGGATGTCTATAATCTACCCAGATTGAATCAGGAAGACATAGAAAGCCTGAAAAAACTCATAACAAGCAATAAGATTGAATCAGTAATAAATAACCTCCCAACAAAGAAAAGCCCAGGTCCTGATGGTGTCACTTCTTAAATCTACAAAACTTTTAAAGAAGAGTTAACCCCCATTCTACTCGAGTTATTTTTAAATATCCAAAAGGAAGGAAGCCTACCAAATTTATTTTATGAAGTTGTCATCACTCTCATGCCAAAACAGATAAGGACATGACGAGGAAAAAAAAAACCTGCAGACCAGTATCTCTGATGACTATAAAAACAAAATTTTCAATAAGATACTAACAAATCGTATCCAACAATGCATTGAAAAGATTATCCATCATGAGTAGGTAGTAGGTAGGGATGCAAGGGTGGTTCAGCATATGCAAAACCATAAATGCAATACATCATATTAACAAAAAGAAAGATGAAACCCATATGATCATATCAATCAATGCAGGAAAAGCATTCGATAAAATACAACATCCTTTCATGATTAAGACTCTCAACAAAATTGTCATAGAAGAATTATTTCTTGATACAATAAAATCCATCTATGAAAAACCCACAGTAAACATCATACTGAATGGGAAAAAGCTGAAAGCTTTTCCACTAAAATCTAGTACAAGACAAGGCTGCCTACTTTCTCCAATACTTTTCAATATAATGCTGAAATCCTAGCCAAAGCAATCATAAAATAGAAGAAAATAAAAGGCATTAGAATAGGAAAATAAGAGGTGAAATTATTCCTATTTGCCAACGACAAGACTGTATACATAGAAGACCCAAAAGTATCCATGAAAAACTCCTTGAAGTAATAAACAAATACAGTAAAGTGGCAGGATACAAATCAACATTCAAAAATCTATACCATTTCTATAACAACAAGCAGATTGAGGTAGAACTGAAGAAAGCAATCCCATTTACCATAGCCACAAAAAGCATAAGATGTCTGGGAATAAATCTAACCAAAGAAGTAAAAAACCTCTACAAGGAAAACTAGAAAAATAAAAAATAAATTAAAAAAAAAAGAAATACAAAATTGCACCAAAAAAAGAGA